GGGGGAGCAGGTCGCCGGATGGGTAGCGGGCGGGTCGCGGCGGGTGAAAGGGCCGAGCGCGAATAACAGCAAGGACAACGAGTCAATGCGGATGCGACTTGAATTGGATTCGCTTGAACGGAAACACCCCAACCCGATAATGCTATTTTTGCGTTGCCAGGCTAATTTGCTTTGCGCTCGCGACGCACGTGCGATTTAGCCTGATCAGGTTACCGAATTTAACAACAAGTGTTAAAATTAACCTGTCAGGCTAGAAATTGGCATGTAATGCTTCGAAAGAGGCCTGATTGAAGCTCAAAATGAAGAACACAACAAGAAATAGCATGATTGGGCCGGAAATTGGCCTGGAGGGTGAGATTTTGACCTGGTTGCAAGCATTTTGCAGGATAGTCCAATCATTCCAGGATATTAATTAGCCCGGACGTCTGTTTTTTAGCCCGGCAGGGCGCTCTGGGTGGGGGACTGTTATGGGGCTCCTGCGGTCGGCTGTCAGGGGGCCGAGGCCGTGCGGGAGCCCGCTTGGGACCGTCCAGGGGCTGGCGCGGGGGGGCCCGTGGGGCTCTATGGGCCTGACTTGGAGCTCTCCTGGGGCCGCCTGCCTCGGCCTGGGGCCCTCCTGGGGCCCTGGGGGGCTGTTGTGGGGGCTCCTGGGGTTGGCTGCAGGGGGGCCGAGCCCGTGCGGCAGCCCGCCGGGGACCGTCCTGGGGCTGCCTGGGGGGGCCCGCGGGGCTCTGTGGGCCCGTCTCTGTGGGGCGCCTGTGGGCCGTTTGAGCCGTCCAGGAAGCTACGGTAGAGGCGCCGCGGGCGAGTCTGAGATCATTTCGGAGCTCCCAGGAGCCGTCTGGAGCTGCTCCGGGCCGCCTGGAGCGTCTCCGGGCCCGAACTGGAGAGAACCAAGAAGACCAGTTTGAAAACTACGACGATGCAGGATTTGAGGCCCATCAGGCCGTCATGGGGGTGCTCTGCTGCCGTCTTGGAGGTCTCTTTCTGGTCCTGGGGCCCTCTGGGCAGTCTCGGGGGCAGCTTGGGCGGTCGAGAGCCGCCCCGGAAGCGCCAGCGACCGTCGAGGCCCGCCCCCCAGGCGCGGGGAGCCGCCCCGAGCCTCCCTGCATGAACTCGCACGCGCGGATGCCGGTACGCACACGTCGCTCACTTCTAATCGTGCTCGCTTCTAATTGTGCTCGTTTCGAATGGTTCCTGGCCCCCTAGTGGCCAGGAAGAGGCCCAGGATGGAACAATCAGAAATGAAAGGACCTTGCATTACAGACTACAGTCGAAAACATGATTAAGATAATTATCAGCTTTTCAAAGATTTCTTAAGGAGACGCTGGGCCAGCTTCTGGAGCCAGGAACGTACGCTGTTCACTTCTAGGGCCCAAGGCTATCAGTCCCCTTGAGAAGCCGAGCCAACTCTCCCACAAGTTGGTTACGAAACGCTGGGCCGGCTTCTCGGGGGGAGGCTGCTTAGCTGTCCCGATACGCAACACGCAACACGTACCGTATCGATACGGAACTCAACACGTAGGCTGAAAGCGTAGGTCCGACGCGACCAGGAAGAGGCCCAGGACAGAACAATCAGAAGTGAGAGGATCTTGGCCCTCCACAAAAAGTCAAGGAACCCTCGAAGAATTAGAAATGAGCAGTGTGCACATCGCCGTGGCGCTCGTGCGGAGGCGCACGCTCGCAACGTGGCCCTGCGTCGCCTCCCTGACATTTTCGGGGCCCCCATGGGAGCCTGCCTGGCGCGGGAGGGGCCCTCCCGAGGCCCATGCTGGGTGTCGCTGGGGCCGCGTCGGGGGCAGGCTGGGTCCTCGTGCCTCCTCCTCCTCCTCCTCCTCCTCCTCCTCCTCCTCCTCCTCCTCCTCCTCGAGCCTGTCTGGGGCGTCTGGGAGGCCTCTCGCGGTACTCTGGGCACCTCCGGAGCTGTTGCCGGGCTGTCTGCCAGAGCCTCTTCTGGGGGACAGCCCGGGCAGCTTGATGGGGAACGAATTTTGGCCACAGAGCCTGTTCGAGGAGTTTTTCCGAGTCGAGAGGCGACAAAGGGCAATCCAGCAAAAATGGCACACTCCCAGACCCGTAACTCTGCATCAAGCGCTTGATGCAGAATCGCCTCGGGGCCGTCCTGGCGCGCCCTGGGTGCTCCGAAGGGCGCTCTCTTGGGGCCTTCTTGGAGAGAAAACTTGGAGGCCTTTGGGGCCGCCTTCGGGCGCTTCGGCTTCGGGGTCGTCTGAGGAGCTTTTTTGACCACCTACCAGACCACCCCAACCCAACCCGAAGACCCGAATTTGACCCGAATTTCGGGTTGGGGGGGGCACGGGTTCCATGTGTTTTCTCAATGTTCCCCGATCCCCTCCCCCCCTACTGGAAATGGAGGGCAAATTGAGGCCTTCGGGTTGGGTTGGGGTGGTTTGGTAGGTGGTGATTTTTGGGCCCTCGAAGGCATCTCTTATTCGCATTTGTTAAGTTAAGTTCGGCGTGGCTTAACAAAGCAGAGAGGAGAAGGATAGATGGGTTCCAAGCTCGCTGCTTGAGGCTTATTCTGGGCATTGCGCACCCTTACATATCTAGAGTATCAAACAAAAGTGTTCTTCAACAATATGGTCACAAATCGTATTCGTCACAGCTATTACGACAGCAATTGGTACTGTTTGGGAACATTTGCCGATCACATGACACAGATGCTTTGCGACAACTCACATTTCAGCCGAGCAGCCCACGACCAGCGACCGAATCATGTAAACGACCAGTCGGGAGATCCAGACATGAGTGGACAAAGGAACTATATCGTAAAATTCGGTGTCGGTTCTCCTCTGATCAACGCCTATACGAGGCCGCGCGGGATCAGATAAAGTGGCGAGAGTTCTGTGCTGAGTTCGCTTTCGGCACTGGCGAGGACGATTTGCTCTAGCGGGAACGCATGGACACTCCATGCCAAAAATCGTTTTCACTTCATCGATCGTTCCCCCTCGCCCTCCCCTCCTTCCTCTGGCACGTGTTTGGCGTGTCTGTTGCGCCATGCATGCGTTTGGTATGCTTTCTCATATCCTGCGCGCGTTTGGCGCGCCGCGCTCCAACTTGATAACCAATTTCCCCTACGCGCCGCATGGCGTATGGCTTTGTTTGTTTGAAGGCCTCTCTTGGGAGTCTCCTGGGCAGTTCTTGCGCGATGTAGGAGCCGTTCGAAGCCGTTTTTCATGCGGGATAAGGAGAAACTGGAAATCCTCCTTCCGAAACTGGGAGCACATGCGACTTGGGCCTCGTGGGGCCAGCATCGAGGCCCTCCTGGGCCGTCGCGGGAGGCCTCCTGGCGTGTCTCGGGGCCGTCTCGGAGCGCTCTGGAGGCTCGCTTCGGGTGCTCGGGGCGCTTTCTGGAGCGCCCTCTGTGAGCGTCTCTGAGCCGTCGTCGGACGTCTTGGGCCTTCCGCCGGCCGCTCGGGGCCGTCCCAGGACCGCCCCAGGAGCGCCGGGAGCCGCCCCGGCCAGCTGCCGCTGCATCGCAATCTCGCGCGTACTGGCCCGAGCATTGCAGTATAGGCTGCGCAGCGCGCACCCGTGGGGGAATCTTTTGGCAGGCAGGTCGAAGCGTCGGCCCCGAACGCGCGGATGTGGCCGACGCGAGCAGGAGGAGAGGTAGAGCGGCACGAGAGAGAGGGGGGGTAGCAGAGGAGGAGGAGGAGGAGGCGGAGGCGGAGGAGGAGGAGGCGGAGGCGGAGGAGGAGGAGGAGCAGGAATAGGAGGAGGAGGAGGAGGAGGAAAAATGGAAGAGGGAACTGGGAGAGGAGCTTTCTGGGTTCTTGGTTGGGGTCTGGGGCTTTCTGCGAGGCTGCTTCGGAGCTCCCTGCCAACTATCCAAATCTCTTGGAGGCTGCCGGGCATGTAGGAGCGGTCTGGGACTCTCTTTGGGGCTTCCGAGAACAGAAAAACAACGAAATGTGCCGGGGCTGGAGACTCTCGTGGGAGCTCCTTGGCAACTGATGGCAACTGTCGGAGTCCGCTGGGAGGCCGCAGAGCATCTCCTCTTGGGTCGCTCTAGGGCTCTCCTGAGAATCCAGAAACGGCGAAAGGTGCTGGGGCTGGAGGCTCTCTGGGGAGCTCCTTAAACACTGTCGGATTCTGCTGCGAGGCTGTAGAGCACCTCGGCGCAAATCTATCTGGAGGGCAAAGACAAAGAGTGGGTCTTGCACGTGTGTTTTATGGCTCGTGGGCCATTGTGGGGCCCCCTTAGGGCATCTTGGGGCCATGGTGGGGGTCTGGGGCCGTTCTGGAGCCGGGCTTGGGCCCTCTTGGGCAGCTCCTGGGGCGTCTTAGGGACCCCCTGAAGCTCTTATGTCTGGGGTCTGCCTTGGGCCAGCCAGGAGCCCTCTTGGGCAATCTTGGTGCGCTCGTCGGGGCCACTTTGAGCCCCTCCTGGGCCGTCCCGGCCGTCCTGGGGCCATGGCGGGGACCTGTGGCCGCCTAGGTGGCCCAGCTCGGGCCCTCCGGAGCAGCTCCTGGGGCCCTCCTGGGTGACTTCGGGGGCCACCCCGGGCCCTGCTTAGAGCTCCCCGGGGCCCGTCTGGGGCCGTCTTGGGGCCCCCTTGGGCCGGCTTGGCGTGCTCGTCGGGGCCTCGTGGGCTACCCTGGGGCGATCCTGGGAGGACAAGGAGCCCCGGGGAGCCGTTCGGGGCCCGACATGGGGAGAGCATAGAGAACCCTGGAAAATACCAGGTTGCTGCCCATTTGTTTCGGATCGTGGGGCCGTCTTCGGGATCCTCGTAGGCCGTCGGTGGGTCCTCCTGGCGAGCCCTCGGGCCCCCCTGGGCAGCCATGGGGCTCGCTCCTGGGCCCTCCTGGGCCGTCCTGCCGCCCTCTTGGGGGCGTCAGAGCTGCCCTGGGGCCGTCTGAAGCCGGCTCGGGGGCCATCGGGGGACCCGCCAGGGCCGGCGTTGAACGCCCGGCGGCGCGCGAGGATCTCGCGCCGCTCGGCCCTTTCGGCCACACTTCGCCCATTCTTGTAGTACAGATGACGTCGGGCTCCAGCTTCACCTCCCACATCTCGCCCAGCAGCGCCAGAGACGGCTGCCACTGCTCACCCTTGTCGCACGCGCTGATCGCAGCATTGCAGCAGACTAGGTCTGAGTCGTGGCCTACCGGCCAAGGAATCTATCTGAGATTTCACGGTGGACCAGGGCTGAGCTGTTGCTGTAAGGCTTTCGTGATGACGTTGGGCCCGAACTTCGCCTTTGCTGTTGTTGACTGCAGCTGCAGGGCGCTACTGCTTGCAGCATGTTTCTGCTGTTGCGTACTTTTGTTGTGCTGCCGTTGCCTGCTGCGGGCTGCAATTAGTCGCTGTTGCTGTTTGAGGCTGCAAGGTGCTGCTTTTTCGTACCCTTGCCAGATCACGCAACCTGCAGCTCGTGAGTGGAGCGAGGAACGAGGAGCAGACAGCGAGGAGTCAGGGTCGAGGGGGGAGGGGGGGGGGGGACGCGAGGGGCCGATCGGCAAGGAACACGGAGCGAGAGGGGATCCGGGGCGACGGCCGAGGAGACGGAGAGGCGAGGAGGGAGGAGGAAGCGCCGAGGAGACGGGGAAATGGCAGACGCCAGTAGCCGGTAGCCTCTCCAGGAGGCAGGCACCCAGGCTCCACAGAGCGTCGCTGCAGCGCTTCCGCTGGGCCTGCGCAGGGCCTCCCGCCTCTGCCATGCCCTCGCGGAGACAGGCTCGAAGCCCCGGAGGGGCCGGAAGCTGCGGGGGGGGGGGCCTCTGGAGACCTCTTTTGGCCTTCTTGGGGCCCTCATGGGCCGCCCGGGCGCTGCTTGGTTGGGCCGTTTCGTGACCGTCTTGGGCCCTCGGGGGCGCCTCTGGGGCCGTCTAGGAGCCGTCCTGGGCCGTTCTGCGCTGCTCTTCAAGCCTTTTTGGGGTCCTCTTGGCCCGTCTTGGGCGCCTCTTGGGCCGTGCTGGGGCCGCTTTGGGGCTGTCAGAAGGGCCTCTGAAGCTGTGTTGGGGAGTTTGGGGGACATCTAGGGCCTGCAGACAAAAACTAACATGCGAAACATGCCCCTGCGACGCACCCAACCCATCAGCAGTACGTGACAAGAGGAGCTGGTCCAGAATAGTATGGCTAATGACAGCGCAGGATCTGTAATTGGTTGCGCAAGCTACATGGGAAGCGCGCGCGCACTGCACGACTCACAGGATAGCAACATAAGGACGAGGACTGAGGCTCCAGGCTCGAGGAGGAAGTGGGGGTGACAACGAAGGGCAGGAAAAGGACGGAAGATAGGCCGAACAGCTAGCGCTGCAGCAGCAACGAGACGGTGGAAAGAGGAATGAGGACGACAACGAACATGGCAGGATGAGGAACGATGGCGGCTATCATTTTCCAGTGGCGCGCTGCACAAGCAGCGCGGCCCGCGCCGGCAGCTCACGACAGTGGTGACAGCTTCGCAATTCGCACCCCCCCAGGCTGGCGAGGTACACACTATGCTGGCCCCCCCAGCAGCCCTCGAAAGCGGCGACGGCTTCGCAGATCGCACCCCACCAGGGCTGGCGAGGTCTAATGTATGCTTCGTTTTGTTGCCTCTGGTACACACTATGTTGCCCCCCCAAGCAGCCCTCGAAAGTGGCGACAAATTCGCAGCTCGCAGCCCCCCCAGGCCTAGTCTGATTCTGCGCCTGGAACACGCTGTGCTGCCCCACCCCCCCCAGCCAGCCCTCGAAAGTGGCGACAGTTTCGCAGCTCGCAGCCCCCCAGGGCTGGCGATGTCTAATTTGAGTCTGCGCCTGGTGCCCACTGTGCTGTCCCCTCCGAGATGCCATCGAAAGTGACGACAGCTTCACAGTTCGCAGCCGCCCAGGGATGGCGAGGTCCAATTTGAATCTGCGCCTGGTACCCATGATGCTGCCCCCCCCGAGCTACCCTCGAAGGCGTCCTTGGGGGTGTTCTGGGCTCCTCCAGGGCTGCCTTCAGCGTCTCTTCAAGGGTCCAGAAGCTCTCTTTGGCCGTCTGAGACCCCTGGAGGCCGCCTACGGGGGACCCAGGTGCTTCGGGCCTCTTTGGAGCTTTTCGGGGCCGTCTTAGGGCAGTCTTGGGACGCTCTCTGGGGGGCCCTAGATGCGCGGCCGGCCCCGGGCCCTATATTTGTGGCCCAGGTTGCGGCCCCACCCCACCCCGGCCCGGCCCCCCTGGTATGTGCATGTATGTATGTGAGTATGAATGTATGTGTGTATATGTATATATGCACAGATGGATGAAACTACATGTGTATGTATGCATGTATGCCTGCATGTAGGTATGCTTTCATACATGTGTGTGTATGTCTGTCTGTCTGTCTGTCTGTCTGTCTGTCTGTCTGTATGTATGTATGTATGTATGTATGTATGTATGTATGCTTGCATGCATGTATGTATGTATGTATGTACGTATGTACGTATGTATGTATGTATGCATGTATATATGCATGAATGTATGTGTGTATGTATGCATGCATGCATGCATGCATGTATGTATGTATGTATGTACGTATGTACGTATGTATGTATGTATGTATGTATGTATGTATGTATGCATGTAAATATGCATGCATGTATGTGTGTATGTATGCATGCATGCATGTATGCATGCGTGTGTAATTGTGCATGATTGTGTGTATGCATGTATGTGTGCCTGCGTGTATGTATGCACACATGCATGCATACATGCATGTACGTATGCATGTATGTGTGTATGTGTGTATGTATATTTGATGGCTTGTATGAATGCGAGTATGTGAATGTGTATGTATGTATGGTTGTATGTCTGCACGTATGTGTATGTGTACATATGTGTATGTACATGTGTATGTGCATTTTTATGTGTGAATGTGTAGGTGTGTGTATATTTGTTTGCGTGTATGGATACAGGTATGTATACGTATGTATGCATGCATGCTTGTGTGTATGCATGAATGTGTGTATGTATGTGTGTGTGCATGCATGTATGCATGTACATATGTATGTATGCATATGCGTGTGCATGTGTGTATGTGTGTATGTGTGTATGTATACATGTACGTACACATGTCTGTATGTATGTACGTACGTATGTGTTTATGTGTATGTGTAGGTGTAGGCGTATGTGAAGGTGTATGTATGTGTATGTGCAGGTGCAGGTGCAGGTGCATGTATATGTGTATGTGTATGAGTATGTGCATGTGTGTGAATGCGTATGTGTATGTGTATGTGTATGTGTGTATGTGTGAATGTGCACATGTATGTATATGTGTATGTGTATGCCTGTGCCTATGTCTGTGCGTATGTGTACGTACGTGCATGTGATAGTATTATGTATGTGTGATTGCATGTATGTACGTGTGTATGTATGTATGTGTGTCTGTCTGTCTGTCTGTCTGTCTGTATGTATGTATGTATGTACATGTGTATATATGTATGCACGCATGCATGTGCGAATGTACGTGTGCATGTGTGTAAACATGTAAGCATGCTTTTTGCCTATATATATATACATACATACATATATACATGTGTATAGATATGTGTATGGGTTTCCACAAGTTTGCCCTTCGTGGCAAACCTCGGTGGCTCCTCTTGTTGCCTTGTGGATCTCGATGACGCCAACGTAAGGCCCCGCTGACGTCTGGGGGTCGTCTTGGACGCCCGTTGGGCCCTCTTAAAGCCCTCTCGCGGAGCACTTGCATCGGGGACGGGGCTCTCTCAAGAGCTTTGTCAGAGTCAAGGTCTCCTCGGGGCCCTCGGGGCCCTCTGGCCGGTCTGCGGGGCGGCCATCTCGATTTGGACCCTGGTACGCCCTGCACCTGGCCAAGAGTGTAGAGGAGAAGACGTCGGGCTCCAACTTCGCCTCTGGCATGTCGCTGAGCAGCGCCAGAGCACGTTGCCACTGCACGCAGCTTCCACACGCGCTGATCCCAGCGCAGTAGCTGATGACGTTGGGATGCAGCTTCGCCCCCCGCATCTTACTCAGCACCGCCAGAGCCAGCTGCCAGTGCTCGCCCTTCTCGCACGCACTGATCCCAGCGCTGTAGCTGACTAGGGCTGACCCGTGGACTCCGTCCACGACATCTGGCCGAGAGCATTCTTGGGGGAGCGGCGGGGATGCTGCTGAAAAGCTGTACACATGGCGGTGAACCCCTCGGCTTCGAGGGGGACTCTGGAAGCCCTCTTGGGCTCTCGTCGGTGCCGTCCGGGCCGTCTCGGAACCGTCTTAGGCCGTCTTGGGCGCCTCTTGGGCGATCTGGGGGCCGTCTTGGACCGTCTTGGGCGGCTCTTGGGGCTGTCTTCTTTGGGGCTGTCTTCGGAGGCTCCTGGCCTGTATTTGTCTTGCTCGGGGCCCTGTGGGGAAGCTTCTGGGGAGGTCCCATGGAGAACCTTGGAGATCTGTCGGGCCGGCTTGGGCCAATGTTAGGCCAATCTCGAGCGTGTGTGGCACATCTGGGGGCCTGTTGAGCCGACTTGGGGCCCTCTGGGCCTGTCTTGGGGTTCTCTTTGGGTCCCTTTTCGGCCGTCTGGGAGGCGTCTTGGGAACGCCTTGGGCGGTCTTGAATCGCCTGGGCGAGCACCGCAAAAGCCCGGCAAAAAGCAACGAAAGTCAATGCTTCGTCCTGCTTGGGGCCCTCTGGGGAAGCTTCCCGGGAGGTCTCTCGGAGCACCTTGGAGACCTCTCGGGCCGGCTTGGGCCAATCTTGGACAAATCTTGAGCGTCTGGGGCCCATCTGGAGGCCTGTTGAGCCGACTTGGAGGCCCTCTGGGCCCGTCTTGGGTCTCTCTTGGGGGCCTCTTAGTCTCGGAGGCGCCTGGGGAACGTCTGAGGCCGTCGTGGATCGTGTGGAAGCTGAAAAGGCGAGCACGGCAAGAGCCCAGCAAAAAAACATGAAAATCATTTTTTTTTCCTGCTCGGGGCCATCTGGGGAAGCTTCCCAGGAGGTCTCGCGTAACATCTTGGAGACCTGTCGGGCCGGCTTGGGCCTCTTGGGGCTCTCTTGGCGTGTGTTCGAGCCTGTCTGGGCGGCCCGGGGCCAGCCTCTGGGGGCCTGTTGAACCGATTTGGAGGCCGTGTGGGCCCGTCTTGGGGCTCTTTTGGGGGCCTCTTCGGCCATCTTGGAGGCGTCTTGGGAACGTCTTGGGCCGTCGTGGATCGTATGGAAGCCGACAAGGCGAGCACGGCAAAAACCCAGCCAAAAATAATGAAAAGCAATGTTTTTTCCTGTTCGGGGCTCTCTGGGGAAGCTTCCCAGGAGGTCTCACGGAGCACCTTGGAGACCTGTCGGACCGGCTTGGGCCTCTTGGGGCTGTCTTGGCGTGTGTCCGAGCCTGTCTGGGTGGCCCCGGGCGGACCGGGGCCAGCCTCTGGGGGCCTGTTGAGCCGACTTGGCGGCCCTGTGGGCCCGTCTCGGAGCCGTCTTGGGCCGCTCTTCGGGCCATCTTGAGGTCCCGTTGGCCTGTCTTGGGCGCCTCTGGGGCCGTCCTGGGGCCGCCTTGGACCGTCTTGGGGCCCTCTTGGACCATCTTGGGGCCCTCTTGGGGACCTCTTCGACCGTCTTGGAGCGGTCTTGGATGCCTCTGTGGGGGGTTCGGAGCGTCGGGAAGTCGAAAAAGCGAGGAAGCAAAAAACCTCGGAAAAAAACAAATGAAAGTCAATGATTTTGGCCTCTCGGGGCTCTCTTGGGAGGCCTCTTGGGAGGCCTGTTGGGCCGTCTTGGGGAGCTCTTGGGCCGTTTTGGGCCAATCTCGGGCGTCTTGGCCGGATCAGTGCGCGTCTCGGGGCCCTCTTGGGCCGCCTTCGGGGAATCGTGAGCGGGTCGGAGCCGTCTTGGAGCGGCTCGGAGCCGTCTTTGGGCTGTCGGGGCGGCCTCCGGAGCGTCTCGGAGCCGTTTCCCGGCATTTGGCCTTTTTTCCTTCCGGCACGCGGTTCCTCCGGCCATATAGTATAGACTAGGGCTGACCCGTGGACTCCGTCCACGACATCTTTCGGGAATGGTTCTCGGAGGAACGGCGGAGATTTAGCCGAAAACCAAAAAGCACGGCGGCGGCCGGGGCGGCGGCAGCGAGACCGCACCTTCGCGTCCGAGCTCTAGCAGTGCTCCAACAGTTTGGCCGTCGCGGGGCCGCCGTCGTCGCCGTCATCGTCGGCGTCGTTGTCGTCGCCGCCGCGAGGCCGCCGTCGTACCCGTCGTAGTCGGCGTCGTTGTTGTGGTGGTGGTGGTAGTTGTCGTCGTCGTCGTGGGTTGTGGGCACCGGAAGGAAGCTGGCAACGTCGGTAGGACTGACCCGTTTACTCCGTCCACGAAATCTGTCTTGTACTCTTAGTAGTGCTTGAGGCCGCTACTGCGTGTTCTTGCTGCTTGTGGCTGCAGGTTGTTGCTGATGGCCAGTTCCGCTTGGTGCGTGCTTCTACCAGCTGCCTGCCGCTGCTTGCTGCTGCTGTGTGCCGCCGCTGCTGCTGTCTGCTTCGTACCCACGGAAGAGATCGATGCTGCTCCAGGGCACTCGAAATGTCGCACGGTGGCTGCGCATGGGGGCTCACTGTGGACGCACAGGGAAACACGTCCTTCTCGGCGCCGTCGCCGCGCCCCTCTGGGATGAGACTGTGTCGGGGACTGCGCTCACTGGAGTCTTATCACTTGGGCGGCAGCCCCGAAGAGCGCCCTGTAGCTGAGAGGCAGTAGCAAACGGAAGTAGAACCCATGCTGCTGTTCATTATTCGGCGCTGTTTCGCTCGCGCCCGCACCCACGGAGGAGTCCTACATTATAGCGCGTACCATCCCAGCCAGGCCAGCATCGCCCCCCCTCAGTCTTTGCAAAAGTAATATGCGCGGCCCTCGTTGATCACAAATCATCAGTTGTTCAAGAATACCTTGCAAAAAAATTGGCGAAGTACAAGCGCGCATCGTCGCGCGCGCATGCCTTCAAAATGCAACGTTCCGTGGGGATGTCAAAATCGAGTGCAACGAAGATAAAATTCAGGGTTTCGCAACGAAGGGTTTCAATTCTGGGGGCAAGAGAAAACCCGCGCCCGCGCTTTCGCAGTTTGCATCAAAAACAACATTTTCAACTTGCTCATACAATGCTACCAAACGGGCCTCTCGCGCGCGCGTGTCGGAATCGCTCGAACGCCCTTGCGCGCGACATTCTGCAATAATCCCCTGGAGCAGACGGAGCGACGTGCACGCTCGCGCGTCGTCGCGCGCGCATGCCGAAATCCCTCAACAACCATAACTTTCGTAAGGACCGCAAGAACAAATGTCCCGAGCACACATCACAACACGCGGTTTTGCAACATCCACGCTCGGGAAAAAAACCCGCGCTCGCGATCTTATGCGGTTTTGCGCAGTCATGGGAAAGCCATTGGATTTTAACATGTCCATCCAATTTTGCCACATGGGGCTCTCGCGCCGAATGTCGAACTCATTCGAACGCTCTTGCGCGTGTGGGCCACGCGCGCATCGGCCGCGCGCGCGCATCGGTCGCGCGCGCATGTCGAACTCCTCCGAAAACTTTCGTCGCCGACGCGAAGACTTCGTCATCGTTATGTACGGGCGTAATCCACGTCGGCGCCGTCAGTGGCCTTGCCGTTGTAGCCGCCACCGTCGTCGCCATCATCGCTACCCTCATAATCGCGCCTGCCGTTGTCGGCGCCACCATGATACCGCGCCCGCCCAGGTCACCGACTCGCACTGAAATGCCTGCTGGGAAGTGCCCACCAGTCAGCACCACCGCGGCAGCGTCTGTCGCGCCAAACTAGCTTGCCGTTGCGCGCGCGAGCATGCGCGGGCTGGCGCAGCCGCGGAGGTGCAGCAGCCAATGCCAAGCAGCAAGCACTCCTCGCAATCGCCGCCACAGGGGTTTTGCAAAGTAAGTTGCGGGTGGGCGGGTGTCTCTGCGGGGCCTCTTGCGCCATTGTGGCGCCCTCTGGAGGCCCTTTCTGGCCCTCTGGGGGCTCTCGGAGGACGCCGCGTTGGGCCCTCCGGCAGCCTTCCGGAGCCATCCTGGAATCATGGGGCTCTCTTGGGCCATCTTGGGAGCTTCCATGGAACGCCCTGGGGCCCTACTGGGGCTGCCTGGCGGCCATGACATCTTGTAGGCGCGTCGGGGCACTCCGAGGCCATGTCAGGCACTGCCGGGTGAAGGTGGAGGCGAGCCAGGAGTCGCCTGGGCACCGAGGACGGCGTCGCCCCGCGAGCGGAGCCGCCGAGGCAACGCCGCCCAGGGCTGGGCCTGGGGAAACAGGCGGCCCTTCTCGCACGCCCGTGCTCTACTGACTACCTACCAGACCACCCCAACCCAACCCGAAGACCCGAATTTCGGGTTGGGGGGGGTAATTAAGGGTTCCACACGTTTTTTTTTCGATGTTTCCCGACACCCCCCCTACTGGAAATCGAGGGTAAATCTGAGCCTTCGGGTTGGGTTGGGGTGGTTTGGTGGGTGGTGATCTACTGCCACAGAGCCTGATGAGTGTGCCATCGTCGGGCCTTCCTAAAAACGCATCTTGGAGCACTTTGGGGCCAGCCTCGCGGGGCCGTTTGACAGCTCTGGGGGCTTCTTTTCGGCCATCTGGGGGCCTCCTTAAGTGCTCCGGGGCCCTCTTGGGGGCCTCTTGGACTGTCCTGGAGGCGTCTTGGGCCGTCGTCGGCGGCTCTTGGGCTGTCTTAGGGCCGTCTTGTAGCGTCTTGGGCCGCCCTTGGGGCCGTGTTTGGGTGCCTCTTGGGCGGTCTCGGGGGCCTCCTGGCGGGAGTTCTGTGGCCGTCTTGGGCTGCCTGAAGGCCTTCAATTGAACCTTCTGGGGCGTGTTGCAGCGAACGCTTCGAAGACGAAAAACATGAGAATGCAAAAAGTACGTCTTCCGATCTGATTTGAACGACTTGGGCTTCTTGGGGCTCTCTGGGGCTCTTGGAGCGTCTCGGAGACCTCGTGGGCCGCGTGGAGGCTGTCTCGGACGTCTTGGAGCGCTCTCGGCACGTCTCGGAATCCCTTCGCCGCTACAGGCGTCGCGGCACAGGCGTCTGGGCAGCGTCTCGGGGCTGAGGGTGCCTCTGGGGGCCTTCCGGGCGCGGGAGGGGCTATCGGGGCAGAGCCTTTCCCGTACGCGCGGGGCCCTGCATGTAGAAACGATAACGTCGGGCTCCAGCTTCGCCTCCCACATCTCGCTCAGCAGCACCAGCGCCCGCTGCCACTGCTTGCTCTTCTCGCACGCGCTGATCCCAGCGCTGTAGCTGACTGGTGGTGCTGACCCATGTCCTACCGGCCGCGAAATCTGTCCGAGATGGTCCGTTGGGCCTGGGCAGATCTGTTACTGAAAGGCTTTCGTCATGACGTTGGGCCAGAACGCCGAGCATGCCCACCATTTCGGCGCACCACTGACACGCTTCGTGGCCCCATAGGAAGCGCCACCCAAGGCCCCAGTGCCACCGCCCGCATGCGTCCGCCGCACCCATTTCAGCACACCCCTCACACGCTTCGTGGTCCCACAGGGAGCTCCTCTGGATGACGCAGTGCCACCGCCCGCATGCGTCCGCCCCATTCAAGTTGGCACACCCCTCACACGTTTTCGTGGCCCAATAAGGAGCTCCACCAAAGGCCCCAATGCCACCGCCCGCACGCGTCTGACACACCTATTTCGGCACACCCCTCATACGCTTCGTGGCCCCTTAGGGAGCTCCGCCAAATGCCTCAACGCCACCCCCGCATGCGCGCGCGCCACACCCATGTCAGCACACCCCTCACACACTTCGTGGTCCCACAGGGAGCTCCACAAAAGGCCCCAGTGCCAGCGCCGGCATGCGCGCACGCCACACCCATTTCGGCACACCCCTCACGCGCTTCGTAGCCCCATGGGGAGCTCCACCAAAGGCCCCAGTGCCACCGCCCGCATGCGTCCAGCACGCCCATTTCGGCACCCCTCGCTTCGTGACCCGATGCGGAGCGCCACCGGAGGCCCCAGCGCCAGCGTCTGCATGCGTCCGCCACGTCCACGTCGGCACACCCCTCACACGCTCCGTGGCCCCCACAGGGAACTCCGCCGAAGGCCCCCGTGCCGCCGCCCGCATGCGTCCGCCACACCAAAGTTGGCACACCCCTCGCACGCTTCGTGGTCCCACAGGGAGCTCCACCGAAGGCCTCCGAGATAGGGCTTGCATGCTTGCCCATTTCGGCACACCCCTCACGGAGCTCCACCCGAGGCCCCAATGGCAGGGCCCGCATGCATCACCATTTCGGCCACCAAAGGCGTCACCTGCAGGGCCTGCATCCCCCCCCACAACACATTTCGGGAAACGCCTCGCCCGTTTCGTGGCCCCATAGGGAGCTCCACCGAAAGCCTTAGCAACAGGGCCCGCATGCTTCCCCACCACCGAGTTCGGCGAGCTCCTCATACGCCTCGTCGCCCCGTAGGGAGCGCCACCGAAGGCCCCAACAGGGAGCGCCACCGAAGGCCCCAATGTCACCGCCCGCATGCGTCCGCCACACCCATTTCGGCACACCCCTCACACGCTGCGTGGCCCCACAGGAAGCTCCATCCAAGAATGTATGTACAACTGCGGTTCTCACAACTGCATATGGCTGGGCCCTTCGCCAGGCTGATTGTTTCCAACCAGCCTGTGGTGTTGAGTCCTCGTTTTGAAAAGACTGCGCCCCGCGTTCCTTCCTCCTCCCCCTCCTCCCTCCTCCCATCCCTGCATCGTCTCGGTTCGGCACACCCCTCTCACGCTTCGTGGCTCCATAGGGAGCTCCACCGAAGGTCCCAGCGGCGCAGTTCGCATGTGAGCGTCACGCCCGTTTCGGCGCACCCCTCAAACGTTTCGTGGCCCCATAGGGGGCGCCACCGAAGGTCCCAGCGGCGCAGTTCGCATGTGGGCGTCACGCCCGATTCGGCACACCTCTCACACCTTTCGTGGCCCCATAGGGAGCTCTACCGAAGGTCCCAGTAGTTCAGTTCGCATGTGGGCGTCACGCCTGTTTCGGCACACCTCTCACACGATTCGCGGCCTCATTGGGAGCTCCACCGAAGGTCCCAGTGTCGCAGTTCGCATGTGGGCGCCGCGCCCGTTGCGGCACACCCCTCAAACGTTTCGTGGCCCTCACCGAAGGTCTCAGTGGCGCAATTCGCACGTGGACGTCACGCCAGTTTCGGCACACCCCTCAAACGTTTCGTGGCCCCATGGGGAGCTCCACCGAAGGTCGCCCATTTCGGCACACCTCTCACACGTTTCATGGCCCATAGGGAGCTCCACCGAAGGTCCCAATAGCTCAGTTCGCATGTGGGCGTCACGCCCGTTTCGGCACACCTCTCAAACGTTTCGTGGCCCCGTTCCACCACAGGTCCCAGTGGTGCAGTTCGCATGTTGGCGTCACGCCCGTCTCGGCACACCCCTCACACGTTTCGTGGCCCTATGGAGCTCCACCAAAGGTCCCAGTGGGACGGTCCACATGCTTTTCCCCCTCCCCAAATCGGTGCGCACCTTGCACGTTTCGTGGCTTTAAAAAGACTTCCACCGAAGACGATGCTGACAACTACGGCACTCACAACTGCATATGTTGGGTCCTTCGCCAGGCAAATTCTTTGTTTGGTCCCTCTTAGGCCGTCATGTGCAGTCTTGGGGGCCTCTTTGGCTGTATTGGAGTCTCTTGGACTGTCTTGGGACCCTCTTGGGGGCCTGGTAGCCTGGTGGGCTGTCTTGGAGCGATCGTGGGGGCCTCTTGCGCTGTCGTGGCGCGTCCGAAGTTGGAATGCCTCTTCAAGCCCTCTTGGGCCGTCTTGGGACCCTGTTGGGCCGCCTGACGGCCATATTGGCGACCCCTTGGGGACAGCCTGGAGGCGCCTGAAGCCATCTTGGACCGTCTCGGCCCTCATGGGCCGCCTTGGAGCGAACCAGCAATTTTCGTGTGTGGGGGGTCTGGGGCCCAGAGGAGCCCGGAAGACCTCGACGAAGGCACAGGTCTTTCTCGCACGCAGGCGGCGCTGCAGTGTAAAGAGATGACGTTGGGCTGTCATGAGCTCCGTTCGGGCTCTCCTGGGACGTCCTCGCGCCCTCTGGAGCGTCGCGGAACAATATTCGGGCTGCCTGTGGCCGTGTTGGAGCCACCTGGGGGCTCTCAGAAGCCGTCGGAGAGCGGCGGAGCGCTCCGGGCGGTCGGGGGCAGCTGGCGCACTGCTGGCGCGTCTCGCACCCGCAACGAGCAGAATTGTAGTGCAGATGACATTGGGCTCCAGCTTCGCTGACCTCATCTCGCTGAGCAGCGCCAGAGTCAGCTGCCACTGCACGCCATTCTTGCACGCGCCAATCCCAGCGTAGCTGATGACGTTGGGCTCCAGCTTGGCTGACCGCATCTCGCTGAGCAGCGCCAGAGCCCGCTGCCACTGCTCGCCCTTCCCGCAAGCGCTGATCCCAGCGCTATAACTAATGATGTCGGGCTCCAGCTGCGCCTTCCCCATCTCGCTCAGCAGCGCCAGAGCCCGCTGCCACTGCTCGCCCTTCTCGCACGCGCTGATCCCCGCATTGTAGCTGACTAGGGCTGACCCGCGGCCTTCCGGCCGCGGAATCTGTCCGCCATGGCGTGGACGTGGAAGTGGAGCGTCTCTGGAGCCTCGCAGGTGAGGGGAGGTTGGAGGGGACGGCGTGGATGGAGGAGGTGGCCGCTGGAGGGGGAGGTGGGCGAGGGATGCAGGCAAGCAGGTCTGAAGGCAGGAATGCGGTTGTAGAGGCGGTGGCAGTGGAAGCACACCCATATAGGCATGACATGGTGTAGACAGAAATTGTTTCTCACGCCGCAGTCTGTGTTAATCATAGCTTCTGCGGGGAGGGTCGCCGTGAAAATTTGATCTGCTCTTCGCGGGGGCCGAATGATATGGGGCCGGTGAGCGCGGCCCAAGAGGCCCGCGAAATGGCGGCGAGACGGCCCAAAAGGGCTCCAGGACGGACCAGGAGGCTTCCCAGAGGGCCCCAGAGGGCCCCTCGAACTCCCTAAGGCGGGCCCCAGTGCGAGGACACGAATCGACCTTTCGAGCGCACCACCCTAAGACGTCCCCAAGAGGCGCAGAGATGGCTCCCAGAGGGTCCAAGAAGCCCCCAAGACGACGCAGGAAGTTCGACGCTCCCCAAGAAAGAAGGATGCAAGGCCTCTTGGGGGCCGTTTAGGAGCCTCTCTTCGTCCTCCTGGGGGTTTCTCAGGGCCCTTTTGGGCCGTCTTGAGTGCCTCTTGGGCCGTCTTGGGGCGATGTGGGGCTGTCTCGGGCGCCTCTCGGACCATCTTGGGGCCGTCTTGGGGCCATCTTGGGCTGACATTGGGCGCTCTCAAGCGTCTCTGGAGCCGTCCCTGGGCCGTCTCGGGCCGTTTTGGGGTCCTCCTGGAGGTGTCTGGGAGCGTCTTGGGGCGATCTGGGGGCCTGTACCGCCGCGTTGGATCCCCTGTGGGAGCCTCCTGGGCCGTCTTGGGGCGGTGTTGGGGGCCTCTTGGGCCGTCGTCTACGCCATGAAACCCGGAAAGCCAGAGATGCTGACATGTGTACGGTTTCCGTCAGGAAAACGATAATTGTGGCCTCCTGGGGCCCTCCTGGGAAGCCTCTTCGGCGTCTCTTGGGCCGTCGTAGAGGCGTCTTGGGCCGTCTTGGCGCCGCAAAAGGCAGTCTTGGCTTGTCGTGGAGCGCTCTTGGAGCGTCTTGGGGGTACCTTGGGCCGTCCTGGGAGCCTCTTGGTGTCGCCCTGGGGCCGTTTTGGGCGCCTCTTGGGCTCTCTTGACGCCCTCTCGGGTCGGCTTTCGTGCGTCTTGGGGGCCTCTTGGGCCGTCTTGGGGCGGTCGTGGGGACCTTGAACCAGCTTCTGCGCCATATTCCCGACAAGCAGCGCCTGCTAAAATTGAACGTTTTTCTTCGGGCAAACAATGATTTTCGCCTCTTGGGGCCATCCTGGGACGCCTCTTGGGCGTCTCTGGGGCCGTCGTGGAGGCCGTCCTGGGCCGTCTTGGGTTTGTTTTCGGCGGTCTTGGGCTCTCTTGGAGCGCTCTTGGGCCGTCTTGGGGGTGTCTGGGGCCGTCCTGGGCGCCTCCTGGGAGCCTCTTGGGGCCGCCTGGGGGCCGTGTTGGGCGCCTCTTGGGTCTCTTGACGCTCTCTCGGGCCGGTTTTCGTGCCTCTGGGGGGCCTCTTGGGCCGTCTTGGGGCGGTCGTGGGGACCTCTTGTCCCATCTTCTGCGCCATATTCCCGACAAGCAGTGTATGCTAAAATTGGACGTTTGTCGTTGGAAAAACAATGATTTGGGCCTGTGGGGGCCATCCTGGGACGCCTCTTGGGCGTCTCTGGGGCCGTCGTGGAGGCCGTCCTGGGCCGTCTTGGGTTTGTTTTCGGCGGTCTTGGGCTCTCTTGGAGCGCTCTTGGGCCGTCTTGGGGGTGTCTGGGGCCGTCCTGGGCGCCTCCTGGGAGCCTCTTGGGGCCGCCTGGGGGCCGTGTTGGGCGCCTCTTGGGTCTCTGGACGCTGTCGCGGGCCGGTTTTCGTGCCTCTGGGGGGCCTCTTGGGCCGTCTTGGGGCGGTCGTGGGGGCCTCTCGTCCCATCTTCTGCGCCATATACCCGACAAGCAGCGTATGCTTGAATTGGACGTTTGTCGTTAGAAAAACAATGATTTGGACCTGTGGGGGCCATCCTGGGGCGCCTCTTGAGCGTCTCTGGGGCCGTCGTGGCGGCCTCCTGGGCCTTGTCGGGGTCGTTTTCGGCGGTCTTGGGCTCTCTTGGAGCGCTCTTGGGCCGTTTTGGGGGTGTCTGGGGCCGTCCTGGGCGCCTCTGGGGCCGCGTGAGCGCCTCTGGGGCGTCCCCGGAGCCGTTGTGGGGCATTTTACGCCCATCAAGACAGGGACCCTTCCCGCACGCACGGGTCCCTGCATTGTAGAGAAGAAGACTAGTGTGAACCCGTGGAAAATCCACGGCCCGCAGGTCCAGGCGTTGGTCCCGAACTCGCACGTGTCGCCGAAGCCTGAAGTGACCCCCAGCAGGGCCCAGCACAGCCGCAGTGCCGCCCACGGGAGCCCAACGCGAGGTCCGAGACGGCCTCACAACTCCAAGATTGCCCCAAGCCGCCCCACGAGGCGCCCGACCCAAGAGGGCTATCGTAACCGATTAAGGCCGGGCGTGGACGTTTCAAAAAGCATCGGGTTTTCGCTAATCGCGCCCGGCCTCTCTGCGATTAGCGAAAATCCGAAGGTTCTGGCCATTCCACTGCGCCAGGATTGTCCCCCACACGTACTCCAAGGCCTTGGACACCGCCCAGGACGATCTGAGTTTCCCGAGGTTTCGGCCCCCCAGGGCCCTGCATCGATACAGCGCAGGGTGCGGGTGCTGGGATACGTAGGGCCGCCGAACCGGCTGTAGTGGCCTGCGGGCAATCTCGCCGCGAGCCTGGGAAATGGGCAAGAGATCTCGTGGATGTTGGTTGGGATCTCGTGGTTGGCCTCCAGGAGCCTCTGGGAGACAGTTTGGGGGCTTCTTGGTAGCAGTTTGGGGGCGTCTTGGGGCCTCTTGGGCCCTCTTTTGGGGCCTCTGGGGAGCCTTTTGGGGCGCCAAGGCCTCTGGGGGGCCTCTTGGAGCCTCTTTGGGGCGTCCTGGGGCCTCCTGGGGAAGTCTTGGGAGCGTCCCGGCGTTTCTTTGGGGCGTCTTGGGGCTTCCTGGGGGCCTCTTGGGGTGGAGGCCTTGATTTTTCGGTTCCAGGTCCCTGTCTTGGGCCTCTCTTGGGGCCTTCTTGGGGCCCTCTTGGGCCGTCTTGGGCGACTCTTGGGCCGTCTTGGGGCCCTCTTGGGCCGTCTTGGGGCCGTCTTGAAGGCCTCTTGGGCCGTCTTGGAACGGTCTTGGGGGCCTCTTGAGCGGCCGTGGAGCGTCGGACAGCCGAAAAAGCGAGAAGGCCAGAAACATTGGAAAAAGCAAAGAAATTCAACGATTTTGGCTTCTGCGGCTCCTCTTGGAGGTGCACTTCGAGCGCTCTGGGGGCCTCGTGGAGGCGTCTCGGGCCGTCTTGAAGGCGTCTTGAAGCCATCGTAAGCGTCTCGGATACACTCTTGGACCGTCTTGGGCCGTCTTCGGGACCTCCTGAGGCCGTCTTGGGGCGATCTGGGAATCCTGGATCAGTCCGCGAGCGGTCCGGGGGCCTCCCGGGCCCGTCGGGCAGCGGCCTCCGGGCGGCCCGCGAGCTCTCTGGGCGGCCCGGGGCGCTGCCACTGCTTGTCAGAGTGAGGGGGCCGAACGGTCATTCACTGTCCCTCGGTGCGCGGCTGAAGTGGGATTCCGCGGTGCGGATTCGTGTTGTTGTTGTTGTTGTTGTTGTTGTTGTTGTTTGTTGTTGTTGTTGTTTGTTGTCGTCGTCCCACCCGCCACCCCCCCCCGCGAACCACCAGCGACCCACCCCGCGACCCACCCGCGACCCACCCGCGACCCACCCGCGACCCACCCGCGACCCACCCCGCGACCCCCCATCCCGCGACCCACCCCGCGACCCATCCCGCGACCCACCCGCGACCCCGCGACCCACCCGCGACCCACGACCCACCCCGCGACCCACCGCGCGCGCCCGACCCACCCGCGACCCACCCGCGACCCACCCGCGACCCACCCGCGACCCACCCGCGACCCACCCACCCGCGACCCACCCCGCGACCCACCCGCGACCCACCGCGACCCAAACCACGTTCAAGGTACAAACCAACATTTTCGGCGCCTGCGGCGGGCTTTTTTTGCATTCCTTCCAGGTGGAGAGCCCGCGACCCACCCGCGACCAACTCGCGACCAACCCGCGACCCAAACCACGTTCAGGGTACAAACCACATTTTTCGGCGCCTGCGGCGGGCATCTTTTGCATTCGTTCTAGGTGGAGAGACCGCAGCCCACCCGCGACCACGTTCAGGGTACAAACCAATTTTTCGGCGCCTGCGGCGGGCATCTTTTGCATTCGTTCCTGGTGGAGAACCCGCGGCCCACCAGCGACCCAAACCACGTTCAGTGTACAAACCAATTTTTTCGGCGCCTGCGGCGGGCTGCTTTTGCAGGAGGACGAGGAGGAGAAGGAGGATGAGGATGAGGAGGAGGATGAGGAGGACGAGGAAGGGGACGACGACGACGTCGACGACGACGACGACGACGAAAAGGAGGAGGGGGGAGGATCGGGAGGGGGGGAAGAGGAGGAGGACGACGAGGAGGAACATGACGACAATGGGAGGACGATGATGGAAGGACGAGGGGGGGAGAGGGAGGACGAGGAAGAAGAGGAGGAGGAGGAGGAGGACGAGGTGGAGGAGGAGGACGACGATGACGACGATGAGGACGAGGACGAGGACGAGAGGAGGAGGAGGAGGAGG